ATCCGTTTATTACCGGAAAAGTGGGAGAAAGTTGTCGCTTCCGAAGGAGCATACTTTGAATAAACTCACTTATATAGATTTGTTTAAATAAACACATCGTTTTCTTTTCAAAAAGGGCGGAAACTTATTCCCATACCCAATATATACAAACAAAACTTTTAAGTAAAATATAGAGTATATTCTAAATGAAGTATATGTTTAAGTTTGAGACTTAACTTCAAAAAATTTAAATAAAAAGTTAATTGTTATCGATAAAATGTAACTAAATAAAAAAAGTTAAAAAGTTATGAGTCTAAAATGTAACTAAGATAAGTTAAAATTATTTAACTTTTCAACTTTTTAACTTAACTTTTAGCTTTTTAACTTGGCACTACCCAACCCTGTCAGAATGCATAAAAATCGAAAGGTTATTTTTGCGATTACGTAGCTCTATAATTATTGAACTTTGAAAAACTTAATTGAAAAATGTTTACGATATTACGACGAATTCATTTAACTCCTGACTTGGCGGCTTATCAGTCTCTTTGCGTAAACTTTATCATAGCTGACATCAACTTAATTTGCAGCTTCTTTTCTTTCTTTTTATATAACTCGCGCGTGTTGCATCGATTTCGCTTCGCGATTTAACAATACTCAGCGCGATCCATAACAAATCCATCCACCGACTATGTAATAATAATTTATTTGAATTAATCCATTTTCAGCTACTTTTACAGGAATGGCTACGCCATGTAACGTACCTCGTAATGAAAAGTCTAATATTTCTTCCTCCAACAATCTCAAATACTCTGACAAACGAATATCATATCTTTATAGAAAAATTATTATACTTTGTTGTTTGACGCAATAAAATAATATTAGATAAAATGTTACATTCGACTAAAATTAATTCGTTCTATTTTTGTCGGAGTATATGATCCTTCTTAAATACACTAGATCACAGACTCGCCAAGTATGACGGCAAGAGCATAAACAATGTCACACAGCACGTGACATCTTCTCGACAATATATCTCTAATAACTTTCACAAATGCTAAAACTTTAAAATAATAATATTATCCTTCGATCTCGCGGAAGCTCGTGGAAGAAAAATCACATATGAATGAATTGCTCATGGCAGATTTTCGTAAGAAAATCTTCGGCGAGCTTTCGCTTTGCCAAATGACCCGCAAGAGCCTGGAAGCTCGCGTGAGATGTACCTTATATAATAATCTCTTTCGTCTTCTCGTACGTCTTTTCAGTACAACCTGGATTTCCGAGGTCTGTCGGCGCGCGGGGCCGGCGGCTCGCCGTACAGGGGCGGAGAGGGCGGGGGAGCTGACGGCGACGGTGGCGGAGTTGGCGTCGACGGCAGCAAGACGGGCTCCGCCCCCGGCAGCGACCCGTCCGTCTGACAGTTTGGGATGGCCCGACGGGCCAAGGGGGACGCTCGCCGCACCCGGGTTTCCTTTCTGCTTTTCTAGGGAGAACCTCGCCTGCCCCACCGACCATCAAAGCGACGTACACGTCGACCGGATGTCGCGGAATTGCCGTCAACAACAACAAATTGCCGTCGGCAAGTACCGCGACGACCGTGCGCGGGATACAGTATTCGGAGGTGCCTCGCCTGGCCGGGATATGTTCGTCGCCGTTTTCACGGAGGCGACGTATTGCGCGTAGTAACGATATTCGGAACCTGTGCGTGAGGAAAGCGTTCCTCCTGCGGACGCCCTGATGATTTCGTATTTGAAAGCAGGAGAACGGATTCAATTTAACGCCTTCGCGACGTAAGATGAGAACGATCGCGAAAGTGTTGACTGTGTAAAAGAATCCTGGTTGAAACGTTAGGATTGATCCAGTCCGCGGTGATACTCTCACATTTCGACCAGAGAATATAAGCAGTTAGTCTCAGTATTAATCAACGACTTATGATATGAAAAGGATACATGTACTTAAAATGTTGCAACGGTTCGATGTGCTTGGACAATCGTTTAAACTGTAACGAAGATATACTTGGTCGACGTGTACGTTTCGCCAGATCGTTTAGTTATATCGTATACTTTAACTTCTAATAATGAGAAACAGATTTACACTAGCTTCTGCTATTAGTGAGCAGATGTCTCAGATGTACGCGTTTTTACTCCAAGCAAATGAGTTTGGGAGCACACTTCTTTACACGGCCGAGTGCCACGCGTGGCGATCGAGGCGTGGGAAAGCGGAAAATCGAACCAAGTTGGTACCACGTGGAGTTGAGTGTGAAAGTGACGGATAAAATGTGCGCGTCTCTCTATGTAGTCTGCGAAATTGCTCTTTGATTCGATTACGTGATCCACGCTTTGATCGTTGGCAACACCGGTGTAAATGTCGCTACTAAAAATATCGAATAGCAAAAGCTGCTCGCGAGCAATGAAATTCATTTTTACATCTTACAATTAGTGTAATTAAATTACGTTTTCACGTTTCAGCAATAAAATTTCTATAAAGAAAGAGATTACGCTAAATATTGCGGCGTTACATTTCACTGCTACTATACGTTAATAACAGCATCACTTGCCTGTTACTTGTTACATTTGCACGCCGTGTTTAAGAGCATTCCATAACGTTCATCGGTTTAATAAATTACAAAATTATAAGCTTACGATTATGAACTCTTAAGTCAATTTATTTAGCACGCAGTACGTTTTGTTACGACGCCAAGCTAAAGTCGCTCAATACTTTCGGCGTATAAGGAATAACATATCTTGCAAATACTAGGATCTCATTTTCATTATCCTCGCGGCGAAACTTTTCCGCCAACATACGGCTGCGCACAAACAAATCATTCTTCCATATCGAGAAGTTGGTGCAGCGACAATAATTAACAAATGTCGATCGCAGTGCCTTTTAGGTGTGAAAACTTTGTCGAAACTTTGCCGGGGTTCAACCTCAGCTTCCGAAGTGTTACGCCAACTTCGGTAAACAGATTATACAGAGAGGAGTCTCGTATTATACTTGCAAGAAAATAGCTCGCGCATATACATACATCTGCATGACTTTAGCGCGTGATCGTCAAGGCGTACTGTATCCGCGAGAAGCTTAAAAGCTCTCTCTGTATCTCTCTCTCTCTCTCTCTCCACTCAAAAGTAAATCGACGAAAACTAAGCAGCACATGAAGAAAAACCACACGTCAACGAACGACTTTCCCTTCTCTTGTGTTGCACTCAATTCACTGGCTAATTAGAGAAATTTGAACAGTGGCGGTCTCTAAAGTCTTTATACGAGTCTACTCACTTAAAAGATACTCTCTTTTCTTACACTCGCTAACAATTTTATCTGCCATTCTTCAAATTCCTCATAGCATATCCACGTATCTAAAGATACTACAGTATTTAAGCACTGACCTTGCAATTAAAAATCATTTTAGAAAACGTATTATTTTCACGCAACTGCGGTATCTACGAAAAATAATGCAGTTAATCGAGTCTTCGTAGAAAAAAGACACTCGTGGGGCAGGAGGTCTATCGAGGGTGACCTGGGGGCGGCAGCAGGGCGGTCAGGGACGTACTTTGTGGCAAAGACGTACATTCTGTCACCACTCGAGATCGCAAGCTGCAAGTCAGCTTAATTTTCATCACTTGTACAAAACGGATTGTCCGATTTGACGATATTTGTAATCATATGAATATGTTAAAGTTCTCGTGAGAAAGAGACCAAAGTTGAGTTTTACGATTATTCTCAAATCGGGTACTTCCGGGACATTCATCGAAAAAAAAAAAAAATCATCAAAGTTCCTTCTCGATGCCACAAAGAAAAATGAAAAAGAGCGATAATTATGCAGAATCGCTTTTGAGACCGTTGTGAATCCTCCAAAGAAACGATTCAAACCATATGTCTTATCAATGTATCGAATGCGATCTCCGATCTATCGAATCAATTGAATTGTAAATACAAGCGTGAGTTAAAGGTGAAAATAGATTCTCAAGCGCACCACGATGGTAGCACGCGTTCACGAAGAGCTCGAAATTGTTCTATATTCACGGGATACCCAAAAATTCCAGCATGTTCGAAATAAATTTCTAGCAATACGTAATAGAGAATTCGCCCGACTAGAGTTCCCGTTAGTGAATTGCAATCCGGCGATTGCAGTCATCGAGTTCCCTTCGTATGCGCGAATGCTCGCAAATAAATGGCGGAAGCGAATCTCCTGCAGAGACGCCGGAGGTTTGCTCTAGCATGCGAAATCGCCACGATTGAACATGGTTTCACCACGAATAGATGCTATATATGTAGAGGTTTCACTATTTCTCCTCGATGTGCGGCAAGATTCACGAGAGGCACAGGGAATTTATCGGCCAATTCTTATGATCTTCTACAGGCTATGACAGAACATATATCGTGACGATAACAATGATAACATCGGAATATGTTATTGCTGTTCCTTTAAAAAAAAAGGGGAGGGGGGGGGGAAAGGTTCGACGAATCCGGTCGTACATCGAGATCGCAAGAGAACTGACGATCATTGTAGCAAGATAAAAGTGAATAAGCGATAATAATTTAATGATAATCTAGTATTATTAACGTTACAACCGCTGGTTAACCGGCGGCAATTGCGACGTCTGTATATACAACGTTATGCGTACGCAAACAAGATGCGTTGACCATTCATGCATTTCATGTATGTACCTACGAGTCAATGCACGGAAGAATACCCTGTTCTGCGTGTATGTATTATACAGAGTTTGCACAAAAAATAACCTTTTCACACAACACGAGAATGTATATCCATGACGATTACTCGTTCCAATTTAACGCTAAAACGCCCATTTGCTATTTCTCTTTCATATTTTAACTTTCTACGGATTCCGATTTGTCAAATGTGCGATAAATCGTTGATAGACCGATCTATCTTCGGGCATTTTAGCGCTAAGCGAAGTTCGTTTGCTGGAGTGATCTTGAAAAAATAGATAGATTGATACCTCATACGGATTGATCGAGATATTCTCATAAGTTCCTAGAGAAATATTAGCTATTATCGCAATTATCGAGGGATACGAGTTTACGAATCGAAACATCGTGAACTGTAATTTGGCGTGGAAATTTTAACATACGCATTGCAATTACGGACATATACATACAAGTACACATAGATATATTTACGCAGCACTTTTGTACAGACTCTGTATCATACGTTATCGCTCTACTTATACTATTTAGAGTTCATTAAAATGGTGAGTAAGTTGAAATTTTTTTGTATAAAACGGCACAAATATTTTCTATGGGGAAACGGAGGCGAGTTCGATCGTAAATGTTGAGTTTCTATTATTTTTATTTCCCGGTTCACACATCAGCGGGATAGATGGTCGTCGCGCTAGTTGATTGCGTTTATCTATACGGAAGAAAGAGAAGCTCGCGAAATATATTGTTAAATATATATGTACTTATGAACAATTCCTATGCAATAATATACGATGATAATACTTTCTCATGAGTATGTGCACGAGAGAGAGAAAAAAGAAAGAAAAGAGAGAATGAGTAAAGATGAAAATAGCTTTAGTACATTCGCATCATACAAACACATTCACGAACGATAATTCATTATTATATTTCTTCATACTTCATTTTTTGTTATTTTCTCTGTTGTTTCTTTCGTCGCGTACAATATAATTCTTCTTTGCTTAAAAAGTTAGTAACGTTCACCCGCAAAGTACTTAGTTATTAATTACGTCAATAGTAACTTAAACGCGAAAAGAAACGCTTAGAGTTAGATCGAGATCCATTACGATCAATTAAGATCTCATATAAGAGGTGCTGAACTCCCCACAGTGTCAAGTCCGATTACTTTTGCGTGAGCGTGTTGAAAATCGCGGTGTTAAAAAGAGTTCTTAATAATCTATGTGTGTATGTTGTCTACCCTAATCCAATATAGCGGAGAGTGGGCCTGATTGGTTTGTGTAGATAATTCGGCACATTGCTAATAATTCTTACCGAGAGCGATCCTTGTAAAATTTATCTCATTACCAATGTCTCAGATTACCTACATAGATACCTACACCAAATCCATTTTCCTCTATGATTCTACCTCAATTTTCGAAATTAGGTGCTTTAGATTTTTTCACGATAAAAGATTGTTCATAGCATACGTACGCGCATACTCGTCTCACGTGCGCTCCTAGATATAACATAAGGATATCCCAAAACTATCGCCTTTTATTTTAGCTGTGATCAATTTGAAGTCAATTTTTTCTTAATAGAAGTTTTTCCGAGACTTAAGACGAGTTGCGAAAAAAGTAACTTCTAAAATCTTTGAAAAAGGAGTAACTTTAAATTGTCAAAGATTACGTCATTTAAGAAAACAGTGCAATAGTTCTGGAATAGCCTCTATAACGAACACCTAGATATGATGAAAAAAATCTAACAGCAGGAAAAATATTTCTTTTTCAACATAATTTCGATCAAAAGCATTTATTTAAACATATAATGAAGATGATATGTAGTATCGTATATTGATTGTTCCAAATGATTAATATCATCTTTAAAAAAAAATTGTCTATTTGTTGCTGTCGGTTGTGCTTATCGTATCCAAAGAACAGATAATTTAATTTTTTTACACAACTACACACAGAAGATATCCATATGACGTTCGGCTTGTGGTTCTTTGTGCAAATGATGAGATATTCTCGACACCAGAAATAATAATGTAATAATACTAATAACTACAAAATAATAATAATAATAATAATAAGAGTAATAATAATAATAATTGATAAAAATTATAATGATAATTAATAAGTTATATAGTGCAAATCGTAATGATACATACATATACATATTGATAGTAACGACTGTTATTAGTTGGACTATTTCGTGCCTGTGTGATCGAATATTACCATGTTACGGAAGTAAACTTGTAATTTGTTCGTCAGCAAAACATTTTAGTTTACACACGTATATAAACGTATATTACGTAAAACATAAAAAATAAAACTCGTAATATATAATATATATGTATATATACATGCAGTCTTGCAAAACGTATTTGAATAGGGAAAGCGTAAGTGCAGAGTGATCGTTTGAAAATAATTTACAACGGTGACTTTTCCATTTTATACAATCTAGTGGATTAAAGTACTTGCGAACTTCGTACTTGTGCTTCGTACTTAAACGTAACTTCAAAAATTCACCCCTGGCATTATTAATCATTAATAATAAGTTAAACAACATCAATGACAATAATTTCAGCTAATTACTTGCACGTCGGTCCTTTTATTGCAATCACTTATATTGATTATTGTTATCATCGATAACAGGACATGGTAACAATCATTTCAATTAAACATTCAAATTACGTTTTCACAATCCATTCTAATACTAAGAATATCAAAGTGTGAATACCAATTAGAAGTAAATTGCACAGATCTTACATAAATCAATGTAATTTTTGTAAACTTTATATCTATGGGTCACTTTTTGTGCGATTGCCTTCTCTCTCTTTTACCGACGTGCTGCATCTCAATAGCAAATCGGTGACCTCATTAAATGAAAAATATATATGAATATGAGCTTATAGTAATTTAATATTTTCCTAAGAACGCCAGACACATCATATTCGCAATTATTTACCATAAAAAAGTTAAGTATACTATAAAAAGTGTGAAATAAAATTTTATGGACATTTAACGTCTATCCTTGACAGAGAAGTATAACATAAAGTGCAAGGCCAGTGCAAATTATTGTCAAAGAATAAGGGATTCAAAGTTTCTATTTTACTATCGTGGCTACATACACGATTAATTGGTCGCGAACTTATGCGTCGCGATTAAATTTATATATCCAAATACAATTCAAATATTTCATAGAAAAATCCATCGCACTCTCGATATTCGTGATAATTAATCGTTATTATCCACTAGATGGTCAATTTAACGCGATCTAAACGTAAAATCGTTATCGATCTTTCCCTATAGAGTACAGCTAATACAAAACTGTAATCTCTTCGACTTTTTCAAACATTTCGCCAAATGTTCTTTCCTATTCAATGTCTATTTCGTAATTTAAACATATGGAAACAATACACGTATCATACAATATATGGTAGCGCAATTGCGACGGCTGGTAACGATAACGACACGATAAACGCATAATAAATCGTTTATTTGATAAATATCTTAATTCCTTGATAAAAAAAACAACTTGAAATTGTTACAACTTAAAATTGTATGCTAACCGCATGCATAATAAATGTTTGAATGTAACGTAAATTAAATATTAATTTTTTACATACATCAATCCAAATAAATCTTTAACACAATTTTTAAATGTTTTTTGAAACTGCTGTATCATATATTAAAATAAAATTAATATTAAAACATGAAACACTATAGAAATCATTTAAATATAACAAACGTAATCTATCACATAATATTAAATTAAAAATAAACAAATAGTTTAACAAAACAGTACCAAACCCAAAGATATCTACTCGACAAAATTAGCAAGC